TAGGAGTGAAAAATTCTTGAATGGCACGTAAAACATAATACAATCAATCAATCAATCTCATCTCATCCCTTGTCATTTTCCTTAATCTCTCATTTGATTTAAATCTTGTCCACTCCATCCCGGGAATTGTTTTCAGATATTTGAGCATTTTTATGAGTTTCAAGGTAGCATTTTTTTTTATAAATCATATTGCCTTTTACGAGTAGTAAATGACATCTACAAAAACACAAGGGAATCTTTTTTTCAACACATTAAGTATAAATGTAGGGTGATAAAGTAAGTTTTAATACTTGGAAACTTATGGTAAAATATATGTGCTACATTTTTTTTCTGATGACTCAATCCGACCGACGATAACACGTGCAGCGAAAATGTAGAGAAATAATAAGGCAATCAGCTTAAATCAAATTACTCTTGGACATCATCAAAGTCTAAATATCGTGACTTGAATCACAAGCTAAAAGTAGGACTAATCAAGTTCTAAGTGTGAACACATCATGTTCTAACACCCAGAATTGAGAAAATATATTTACCTTAAGTGATACGATGCGTCCGTCAGAGTCGGAAGTAATATCGAATGTGAAGCTTGAGGCTTTGCATTATCATATATCACTGAGGATGGTGGCTATCTCACAAAACTCAAATTCCTAAAATTGAAAGGGGGGTTCATACTCTCATTCTCTTTTCTGTAGAAAATATTCTGTACAACAACAATACGGTTCAAGCGGTTCAACACTACCACAAAAAAGTGGTGAAAAGAGGGGGTGGTGGACTTTGTCTTAGTATGAATAGTATAATACATACATATGTATCTGCAAAAAAAAACGGATGAATCCGAAAGGGGGGTAGAAAAACAATACATGTATTTTTACATGTATAAGTAAATACAGTGTATGCCAATGCTCGTTTGTTAGTTTAGTTGTTTAACGTCCCTTTCAAATAATTTTCACTGATATTGAGATGCTACCACTTGCTGGTGGATTGTATAATGTTAAACCTGTACTCGGCACGTACGGCCTTTGAGCAATGAGGGAACATTTTGGTGCTACATGTAGCACCTACTGCAATACGGAACCTCATCCAAATAACCAGTCTTCAAGTCCCACATTATGGAAATGATTGTAACACGATTTCAGTTAAATTGGAATGTATCTTTAAACAGCAAACAAAGGTTCTTGTGCAATATCTTTTGAATTTTTTTGCTTTTTCATTTGTATATGTATTTTTTTTGTTTGATTTTTTAAAAATCTTTTGGAAGGGGAGGGTATCTGTTCATAATGGAAATTTAATCGTTCACACGCACATTTAAAGGACATATTGGATTTTGTAGGAATTCGTAATTCGTAATTATATGGACTGTCTTTGCATTTCTATGTCATTCAAACCTTGGAGATCTGTGATGAATATTTTTTTTTCATATAGAGACGTCACCAAATACCAGTGAAGGGCTTCAAATTTAGGCCTATCCTCGGCACTCAGGGCCATTGAGCAGTGGGGGTTCTTTATCGTGCCAGCGCCTATCGTGACACGGGACCTCGGTTTTTTTTATGGTCTCACCCAAAAGACAAGTGACTTTAAATTCCAGTGCCGGGCGCTTGACGAAAGAACAGCCACAACCTATCTTTACGTCTTAGATTTAACGCGGCACGGCGAAGGAAAATCGAACCCTGGCCTCCCGATCACGAAGCGAATGCCCCACCTCTAGGCTGCTGTGACCTGTTTGTTTTATTGAAGGAAAGAACACATAATTTTTATTTTGATCATTTATGAAGTTAAAAAATAAGTATTTATTTCAAGTTGTCGGAGTTCTTCTGCCGATTAATAGGTCAGGAAAAAAGCTGATTTTTAATAAGATATAGATGATTTATCATTTCGATTTCGAGAAGAGTTACGAACTCCTTTTTAATTTAAAAACGGCAATTTATAGTATTAGTGTGACATACTGATTATTTAAAAACGGTATCATAGTTATTAACTGTTGGTCACAAAAAGTTCTGCCCAAGGTATATAACTATGACAGAAGGTTAAAGAAAAACGAAAATAAATTGGGCTTGCAGATTTTAATATCATAATTAAAAGAAATTTAGTTTCGAGATAATCCAGGATCTCATGAATATTAATGAGAAGTCAATCACGTGGAAAGAATCTCGTGAATTCACTGGACAACATTTCTCCCTGATATAAAAAAAAGATTCCTCATCAAATTAGATAACATTTATTTCTCTCTTCTTCTTCTTATTCTTCGAGAGAGAGAGAGAGAGAGAGAGAGAGAGAGAGAGAGAGAGAGAGTGTCAGTAAACTGCATACATGGCTGCTAAAATTACGTTTTTTCCATAACCAGACAAATGCTTACAAATAGAAATAATTTTTTATCCAGACTGCAGATAGACTAGTAGATAGAACGAAATTCATTACAACATTCCTCAAATTCTAACAGTAATTATAAGAAAGGACATCACAGTTATCACTTACAGTGGACAGGGAACTCCGCACACGACTATATACACCAATTGGTCAAAAATTCTGATTTAGTTCTCTAGAACAGTCCAATACAATTGAAAATACAATTGAAAAAATAGGCGTAAAAGATACACGTTTACTGTTTTATAACAAATAATACGCACAAACAAAACAGGAAAATAAATGAGTCTATGAGTAACCCAATGATTATTTTTGATCAATTTTACTCTTTAAAAGTACTTGTTGGTAAAACAAGTGCATTTACAGATTTTTACATTTAAAAAAAAATGAATGTAGAAAATCAAAAGCGCGAATACTCTAAAAATGTTAAAATACATATTATATCCATATTTTTCACTCGTATTGAGATGCAGACCTCTTACCCGGGGGGCTGCAAATTTTAGACCTATACTAGGCACTCAGTGCCATTTTGCAATAAAAAATCTTTTTCGTACCAGTACCTAATGCGACACGGGACCTCGGTTTATATGATCTCATCCGAAGGATCTGTCTCCAAGTCCCGCAGTGGGATTCGAACCCGCAACGTAAGGATCAACTCCTTACTCAACGAGTCTAGAGCAAATTCTTTAGCCACTGCGCAACTCGGGCGCCCCCTCCCTCCCCGGAACATGTTATTACTGCTGATAATCAACTAACATGACTTTAATAAGTTTCTCCTGTTTTTGTCCATATTACCTTGTTTCTTGGTTTTGAATATTTTCCACTTATTCTGACTCACTCCTTCAATTTTCTAGAAATATTTATATATGTTAAGCGTAAAATAAATACATGTAAACTAATATTGGAATTTTCTTGAAATGATATGTTCCTTTCTTCTCTCAAAGACTTGATCCCACTCTGTTTTTGTTTTTTTTAATTGTTCACCTTTTTATAATTTCTTCCCAACTGTGTCGCATAATTCTGATCATTAAGACACATAATTCTGATCTTTAGATGGTAAGCCAAAAAATCCTATCAGCAATCTTAACTTTATAATTTTTAAACATTTCTGATCAATTACAGTAATACTAAGGATTGAATGCAGAAATTCTCCGACAAAATATTATTGTATTTGATGTACATGTATTTGATTATTTCGAGGAAAGTCAGAAATGATAAATCATCAATAAATAAATAAATACTAAATAATAATAATAATAATAATAATAATAATAAAGAGCTAGGTTCACTTTATACATAAAATGGCCCTGTAGATCAACCAATTTATCCATTTACACACTGTGTCCCTTTCTTAACATCAATATAAAGAAGAGACTTGATGCTTTCAGTTTGTATATAAAATTTTCTTCTAAAGAGTCCAGGTACTGGAAAACAGGTTGTGTGAAATTGCAATGTTCTTGAATTTTGCAGAAAACAGGTGAATTTGAGAACCTCCAACAAAGAATTAGAATATGAGCACACCCCTCGATCCAAAAATTAAAATATGTTTTATAATCTTAATAAGCAGTTCTTTCATAATATATTTGCACATTTTGGATCGGAGGTTGTGCTGAATATGAAATATTGAAAAATAGCGTCATATTTTGTCCATTTTTGAAGAAATATTCAGGATATGTGAATAATGACGCAATTCATGACGTCATAATGCATTTACTAGCAAGAAAATTACGTCATTTTTAGTAGATATTCAGTCACCAAGTGTTCAAGTGATATTCATTGCCTTGTCAACTAAAACTATGCAGCTTTAATTTTTCAGAAATTTACAAGGCCAAAAAAGGCCCTAAGTGGCCCTAATTTATATCCAAATTAAGGATTATTTCCCTCATGCATACATGTAGCTCTAATCCTTCGACGTATTTGGCTCTAGTCTTTGACACCCCCTTTTTCAGCTCTTCAAAGTTTTTTCTTTATTTAAATATTTCGGATTTTCAACGTTTCGGCATGAGCAACACTGAAAAAACATAATTTGTCGAAATGCGCATTTAAGGCATCAAAATTGGTTCTGTATAAGATTTACATTATAGTTATCATAAGTTAATTTTCAAACAACTACAAGGTAGCAAAATGAATGAATTTATATCATACTTTATTTTATATCTTAGAAAGAAAGCAAAATGACGATTGTTGCTGTCACGGTTCAGTTTTTTTTTTAGTTATTATTTTTTTAAAGCATTTAAAGCATTTAAAAACAAATATAGCATAGTCGTCAATTGAAACACAACAAAATCAGATAAAATTTAAATACTTTAATTAAGACAAAAAAGGCCAGAAGTTTAGAGATTAAGAACCTTTGGAATTTCCGTAAAATAGGTACAATTTATAGAACATGCATAGTACTACAGCATTTATATCCATATATTATATTTCCAAGGATTGCAAAAAAAAAAAAAAAAAAAAAAAAAAAAAAAAAAACTCCTGAATATGGAGCTGTTGAAACAAGTACATATACAGTAGCATTTTTAGTATAAGCTCCGTGATAAACAGTAAAATAATGATTGACATTTTTTTTCAGTCTTACCTCTATGAAACTAACAGAAAGAAAAAAAAATCGGCTATCTAAGAAAAAAGTTTTCATTGATGATCAGAGTTTTCGGAAAATATGTATAAAAATTATAATATAAACATAAAGAAACTGCATTATTTTATTCTTCATTAATATGTATGTCAGCAGACTAAAGGCCAAAAAAAAAAAAAAAAAAAATAGAAAAACATTATTAAAACACTATGTCCTTTTTTGTTTTTTCCGAAGACTCCAAAAGCATTGGATGTCAATGTAGTGAATACATAGAAACCTTAGTGATTATTATGTCTAAAGAATAAAGATGAAACAAAAATGCTTCATTTTTCAAAACAAATATTTTTTTTTTCTTTGATAAACAGTCTTCAAAGAGGTAATGGGAGAAGAATATATTTACAGACAAGAGATAATAAGCAAATTAATAATCGGTATTTTAAAATAAGCTTCAGTCTTTGGCTCAAGAAATGTGATATATCCTTATAAAACAACAAGAGGTCTATATACTACAACGCTCACCTGTGCCCTGCTGTTCTTCATAAGATTTGAAATTTCCTTTTCCTTTTAGTTCACATGAAATATTCTGACCTAATATTCTAGCCCGAGTGATTATGACATAATGGAGCTTGCACTATAATATCATGAAAGTTTTGCAATATCAATACGATTACATGGTTTTTGGTGTTCCTTAATTCTCGATGTCTTTTTTTTTCTTTGTATACAACATGTATTAGGAAAATTTAAATACTCAATTTTAGCCCCATCTAACCCCAGTGTCCATAGTACATAAAACACCTTGAATTCACACAACCTGGGGAATTTTGCATGTAAAAACAATTAGTGTTGCACAAATTGATTCATTTGAATTTTTATATGAATTTTGTTTATATTTCCGCGTAAAATAATGATCCGCCGTTGTGTACACACTATACCCGCCGGTGTAATTAATCGAATGATGCTTGCACCTTGATGGGGCTATTCCTAGTCCTGCTGTTGTTGAGACGATTTTAAAAGAATTTTTTTTTCTATATATTCCCATAATTATACAACTTTGTTCACCCAGAGATGCCTTATCCTACCCCTGGAGGACAAGATTGGAACAAATTTGAGTCAACACGTTTGATGATTACACATAAAAGTATGCCCGCCCCATATTGTGACCCTGGGATCATGGTTTAGGAAAAAAAACTGCACTATCTGAAGTGCTTGGTTGTGCTGTTTTTACTTACTTTGATATCCTTTCACACTGTCAGAGAATATCACTTTCGTATCCTTTCACGCTTTGAGAGAATATCACTTTTATTTGATGAAAAATCATAGCGTTTTACTGTTGAAAATGTAATAATATTCATTATCTGCCTTAAATAAAGTTGGACTCTAATTAAAACAAATCTTAAATCCCTTACCCAAGGATTATAACGATTATTTTTAAACTTCAGAATTTGACCCCGTTGTTCTTAAGAAGATATTTAAAATGTGGCAAGTTTACAGACGACAGAAAACATACTACAGACAGACGCCAGAAACTATTTCTTCAGAAATAAAAAATCACCTGGTCGTAGCCTTTGGCTCAGGAGCATTTAGAAGTGAAAATGACAAAACATAGATACATTTTTATTCATCACATGACTATTATTACCATTGCAAGAGAGCTTTGATTAAACATATAAGTATTCTATAAACGTAATATTTTAAAAAACACATTGACGTAAGTATCTCTAAAATAAAATAAAAATATATAATCAAAACGTTTAAAGGTTAAATATATGTTTACACATAATATTGACTGTGCTTTTTATACCGCTTACAAGAATTCGTCGGAATAAATGTTTTTAAATTAGATCAAGGATGAATCTGTCATGTGTTGGCATAAACACTCTCGGTATTCAGAAAATCAGAAACTACTTTGAAACAAAATTCATATTCCTTCTGAAATACAAGAAATGAAATCAAATGTATATCCTCGACGTTATTCTTTGAATGTAAAGCCATTCTTCTCGTATCTCATACCAATGTTTTTTTTTTTTTTTTTTTTTTTTTTTTTTTTTTTTAATATTTGACAAATGTCAAATGATTTGACAATGACAAACAAATGTTAATACTTTATTTATGCAAATTACTTTCATACCTTTTATCAGTTATTAAATAAAGGCATATTAACTCTTTATATGGAACTAAGAGTAAAATTTTTTCCTATGGAAACACTATAATAAAATGCATTAAAATGTACCTTAGTAGATATCATCTCGGGTCTTCTGCACTGTAGCTGCTGGACTATAGTAAATATATCCACCTCATCGTCCTGTTGTAGCTGTTCTATGGCGTTATACACAGCGCAAAACACTCCGCAGCAGGTCGCACCATCTCTTTGATAGAATATATAGAGCATGTTTAAAAATTTCTTTGAAATATGTGTTTTAAGTTTATTTGAAACCGTTGGTACTTTTTTTTTCAACTAATGACAGTTTTTATCAATTATACAATAAAATGAAATAAAATTCATATAAGCTTTCGGGGCATCGAATCATAGTGATATATAAATGCTATTACACATCTGTGTGTTGGTAGTGTCAAATCGCTGCAAATTACTCGAGCAGAGTAGTTTTAACATTTGAATGTGTTTGTTGGTAGAATATGATAGGTCACAGACATTTAATGGATAATAAACCACACCATGTCCATTTTAATTTTATATTTTCTGACCTAAGGGACAAAAGAATGCCAATGATTTTTTTAATTCACTTCAAATTTACGTTTTCCAAGTTTTGCTGATCCTGTATGTACAACTGTATAAATTGTATTCAATCGATACAAGTAATTACCATTTAAGTGAAAAAATGAGACTGGACATTGATAAATTTAATAAAAGTAGCTAAAGTATTTTCATACGTTTCTTCGTTATCGTGATGCCACCACCATTTATTTCTTATAATATCTTGAATGACGTCAAGTTAATTTCAATTAATATGATAATTTCTTTTTCACTTATTGATACTTCATTGGATAAAAAGTTGGGTTTTTTTTTCAAAATGCAAGTTAGAACTGTTCCACCCACCATACTGACTGGTAGGATATTTTGGATATCAAAGTGATTTTAGAGACTTAAGCAAATTTACTAGTTATACAAGTCGCCCTCGCGGCGTAGTAGTTAGAGCGTTTGCTCTAGAGTCGCGGCGTAAGGAGTTGATCATTACGTCGCGGGTTCGAAGCCACTGTGCGACATGGAGACTGGTCTTTCGGATGAGACTGAATAATCAGAGGTTCCGTGTCGCAGTAGGTGCTGGCACGAGAAAGATACTTTACTGTTCAAAAGCCATAAATGCCGAGTACAATTCTAAATTTGAATTTTCAGCCCTCCACCGGCAGGTAGTGGCGTCTCAATATGAGTGAACAATTCTCGAAGGGACGTTAAACAACCAGGCAAACAAACAAAACAAATATTACAATGTATGTGAAAATATGAGTCACTAGTCTAATATCAATACACTAATTTCTTGCAAACAGAAATATTACCATGGAAAATCTTTACTTGGAAAAGATTATTAAATGGTAGCTATACCACTGATTAAATTCCCAAATTACATTTTATTGAACAAAACATACAATTCTCCTCTTTTCTCCAACTACGAATAACTATTCAGACGGAAGTAATAGATATGGCTTTGAATAAAAAAATAAGTGCATACTTTGATAGCACAGTTACGTGTCCGTTTGGTTGATGTTTCCGATAAAGTCTGAACTGTTTGATGAGGTTTGTCAAAGTAGAAGTTTCCATCGGTAGTGTATCATTGAAACTCCAATTCAGGCATTCAAGTATCTCGATTTCACGAGTTTCCTTATTTCCAGTAGGAATGTAGGTAAAAGTTGAAGAAGAAAAAAAAATAGTTTTTTGTTTTTTTTTTTTTAATAAAAACACACATTTAAGTACACGTATTAACAATTTTAATTCATATAAAGACTCTGAAACCGAAACTATGATTTTTTTTTCAATACAGCATGTGTAGACGTTCTATGAAAATATTAAAATATTCAACATTGTGAAAAATATGGCATTTTTCGTCTATTAAAAACAACTGACCTCTTTTGTTGTAATTGTTATATTTGTCTTTCTTATCTCACCGGACAGTACTTCTTGTGTACCCTTAGTGATTGTGTAAGGACCAAGTTTGAGAGGATTGACTTTTTCATCAACCCAGCTTTGTAGCTTGAACAAAAACCAAGTTTAACCAAGTTTAAAATATCATAATATAAAAATTACATTTTCAGCACGATGACGACCCGTGAATAACCAAAAGATCGTCTTCATTCAAAAAGACTGCAATGTTGTTCCAAAGATTGTGTTTTTGTCATTACCTCTTTAAGCTCTGATAAAGGGTTCAATGAAATAAGGAATGTTGACTCATGATCAACAAGCAGACGAACAAGATCTATGGCCCCTTCAGGCACCGGAAATTGAGCAGATATAAATTCGTCATCTCGGGAGAACGACTATGTGTAAAGAATTTCAGAGAAAATAGAAGGTGGTAATATATAAAGATACAACGTTTTTCATAAAACATTTATCCTACCAAATCATATATGGGTGGAATATAAAAACTAAGTGTTTGATGACATACATAGAAGTTTCAAACCAATGCTTAATACGTACGGAAACAGTCACTGCATTATAGTAACATTGTCGGCCTGGAACATGGGAAGTTAGATAGACTAGATATTGCTCAACTGTAACATCATGAAAAAATGACGGATTTAATCTTCTTTGAGGTAATTGCAAAACGATATGTAATGTATTAATTTTATAATCCAACACAGTAAAAAGTATATTGCTGATTTAAAAAGGTCTTTTTTTTAATTCAGCCCCTCACCCCCATCACAGTCACCATCACCCCATTAATAAGAGGCCCAGGGGCCACACCGCTCACCTGAGCACTTTGATTAGGAAAAAGCAAAGAAAAGTTCGGTACTGAAGAGTTAAAATATACAAGTGGTTGGGGGGGGGGGGGGGTATGATTTGAACAAACTTGAATCTACACTTCCCAAGGATGCTTTTGAATTAGTATGACACATAATGGCTTTGCTGTTCTTGAGGTTCATAATCCCTTTATTCACTCAATTGAAATGTTTCTCTAACGCTCATGATTTTCCAAATGAAAAAAATATTTTGTAAGTAAAATGCATCCAATTTTAGAATAGCTTGCGGGGGCAAAATTGGACAAAAAGACATCTAAACTTTACAAATCTATTAAGGAATAATAAACATTTATCCAATTAAGAGGTATCTCTCTTATTAGGTGGTCATGACTTCAACGGATTTTGTAATGTCTCCGAATCAACTATGTATGAGTTAACTTTTTGTTTTGTTTGTTAGAAGAGTTACTTCCCGTAGTTTTGGCAAGCGCCATATTTGTACATGTGCAAAAGTGTTACTAGATTTTGTGACTTTGTAGCCCTATAGCGTAAGTACACTTTCATAAGTTATAAACATAAGATCTTAATATTCATGTGTTAGGACGCAAACCTTTATTGTCAAATATTTCAGTAATTTAAAGCATTATCTACGCATGGTTAACATGACCTGGTTTTTTGTGTAAGGCTAAGCACGTGGTTTGTGTTCAAATCATTTTCTGAGATTTATACAATCTAGTCACTATGTTATACTTGTATATGTGAATTTGTAAGGATAATTTGTTGATTTCTTGCTGAGTTATTATTACATGCCAGTTTTATTGCTTATAAGTTGATTGCTGTTAAAGAAAAAAGTATGGAAACCCGGTTTGGTCATAAATGTAGCATAATAGAGTCAATGTTTTAAGTCGATCATTTTGTATGTAATTTCTTATAACCTTTTTTGTAATTTACAGTCTTTTACTACGTTGATGCTGAATAAAAACAATGAGTCAGTACAGTAAAAGAGCTAGGACTACGTAGGCAGTCATGGAGAACCAGGGCGGTTCAACCACACCACACAAATCTCCTCTAACAGATCAGCGTTCTCAGAGATCTACTAGACAGTTGACAGCGGCAGGGAAGCAAATGTATGAACAGCATGTGAATAAATTCTGTGACAAACTACGAAAGCTTAGAAAAAAAACTAGAAAATGAAATGAAATACTCGTACAATGAACTTACAACTGGAAAGACAGAAATCCTGGTAATTTTGAAAGAAAGTTTACTGAAACTTACTCAGGACTACCATAACATTAGTGAGGAGTTTCAGAATTTTCTTGTAAGAACAAATACTGAGGACAGCAGAAGAGAAAAAGCTGCACAAGAGGTAGTTATATCCTCCTTGGAACAGAAAGTAGAAAGTATCCTCCAGGAAATTGACACAATCATGGAACAACAGGATACAGATACAAAGTTTTCACCAGATTCAAAATCCAAACTCTCTCATGACCTGAAGGACAATGTGTCTCTTAAAGGCACAGCAAGATCTGTGAGTGGAAGGTCAAGATCAAGCAGATCATCAGCATCTAGAAGTACGACTTCCAGAAGCACAACTTCCATGTTATTGGAACAGAGGGTAAAAGCAGAAGCAGCCAAAGCAAGACTGCAATTTGTGCAGAAAGCTTCAGAATTAAAGAAAGAGCAAGCAAGGCTTGATGAACAGGAGAAAAAGTCTAAGGCAGAGACCCTCAGGAAAAAAGCAGAGTTAGAGACAGAGTTAGAGTGTCTGGACGCACAAAAGGAATTAGCAACAGCCCAAGCAGAGTTACGAGCAATGGAGGAAGACAATGGAGACATAGACAATTTAACTAGAACATCTATTTCTAATATTGACTCCTCAGAACGAACAAGAAAATTCATTGAAGAAGTTAACCTGTTAAGGAATTTGGAGTCAGTTCCAGCAACAGAAAATGTAGAATACACCCAACCGAAAGTTTCAGCAGCAAACAATACTGCTACTCACTCTCCAATTTGTGAACCATCATTTTCATTGAATCCTGAGGCTCGACCCTTTGAATCACAGAAAGACAACCTAGTCAATCTAGCAAACTTTATGTTGAAAAAGGATCTGATGCTTACAAGATTTGTTAATTTTGATGACAAGCCAGAGAACTTTGTAGCATGGAAGGCAAGTTTCAAATCTGTGGTTCAGGATGCATTAGTTACACCTCTCGAAGAATTAGACTTATTGATCAGATGGCTCGGCCCTGAGTCCAAGGATCATGCTAAAAGCATCAGAGCAGCAACAGTAGGGAATCCCTCTCAAGGATGCCAGACCTTATGGGCTAGATTAGAGGAAAGATACGGTTCACCGGAATTAGTTGAAACAGCATTAAAGTCCAAACTTGCAAGCTTCCAGCGACTCAGTGCAAGTGAACCTAGACGACTGTATGAACTCTCAGATATCTTAAGTGAAATATTTGCCTTAAAAGAAAACCCAAGGTACAGCCAACTTTTCAGTTACTTTGACACATCAGTGGGAGTGCTTCCAATAGTACAAAAGTTAACACCCAGTTTGCAAAACAAATGGACTTCTAAAGCTTCAAAGTATAAGCTGACTCATGGGGTCCCATACCCTCCATTTAGTGTCTTCTGTGACTTTGTAAAGGAAGTTTCAACCATGATGAATGATCCTGGCCTGCAAGTAGCTCCAACTTTCGCCAAAGAAAATCGAGACCCGAAAACCCCAAGATTCAACCAGCATAACTTCAAACCAGTAAAATCTGTGACTGTTAAGAAGACTGATTTTAAAGAGTCAACAAGAGACCATAAGGTGACACAGAAGAGATGCCCTATTCACGATGCTGAGCACACATTAAACCAGTGTAGGGCATTCAGGAAAAAATCCATTCGTGATCGTAAACAATACCTGCGAGAGCATAACTTGTGCTATAGATGTTGTGAATCGGACACACACAGATTCAAAGCCTGTCACGCAGAAGGGAAATGTGAGGATTGTGGAAGTGAGCAGCACCCCACTGCTCTTCATCCGCCTGAGAGCTCTCAGGGCCAGAGACAGCATGGCGGGGAGGAAGGTAATATTCTCACGAAATGTACAGCTGTGTGTGGAGAACAGTTTTCTGGACGTTCATGTGCAAAGGCCGTCTTGGTGGATGTGTATCCGAAGGGAAGACCTTCAAAACGTCTGCGCCTTTATGCTCTTGTTGACGACCAGAGTAATACAACACTTGGAAGATCTGAGCTGTTCGACTATATGGATGTTCCCAATAGTCAAATTCATTCATTTACGCTTACCTCATGTGCTGGACGCATTCACTCAAGCGGTCGCAGAGCCTCTGATTTGATGATAGCTGCAGTCGATGGATCCATTGTAATGGAACTTCCTACTATTACAGAGTGCAATGAGATTCCAGATGAGCGACACGAGATACCGACTCCAGAAGTCGTCAAACACCACCCGCATCTTAGGACACAGATGCCAAAATACTTTTACTGATTGGTAGAGACTTGATACAAGCACATCATATACATGATCAGCGAGTAGGACCTAAGGACTCACCCTTTGCACAGAAGTTGAGTCTTGGTTGGGTAGTGATAGGAGAGGTGTGCCTTGGCAGATTACACAAGCCACAAGGTGTCACTGTCTACAAAACTACAGTGATTGAAGATGGCCGTCAGTCCATTTTCGAACCATGTCAAAACAGTTTCCGCCTGACAGAGGGCATTGTGCCACACCAGGATGTGGTAAAGAAAGACATTTTCCAAATATCAGCGGACGATGACCAAGTTGGCCTCTCTGTAGATGATCGTCAATTCCTGCAGATCATGGAGGAAGGTTTTGAGAAAGATTCCAGTGGAAAGTGGAAAGCTCCATTACCGTTTAGAAAACCAAGGCCAGTCTTGGAAAACAACCGACTTCAAGCTTTGAAGAGGGCCCACATGTTGGATGCTAGTCTTGAGAGGAACTCAGTGAAAAAAGAACATCTTGTGACTTTCATGAGAGGACTCATAGACAGTGGTGCAATGGAGGTGGCTCCGCCTTTGCCTGTAGGGAAAGAATGCTTTTACTTACCTCTCTTTGGAGTTTATCACCCGCGGAAGCCTGACAAAATACGCGGTGTATTTGATTCGTCAGTTAAATACAAGGGCCTATCCCTCAATGGAGTACTGCTATCAGGACCAAACCTGACCAATGAACTACTGGGAGTCCTTATGCGCTTCCGTATGAACAGAGTGGCCTTTATGGCAGATGTAGAACAGATGTTTTATTCATTCCTGGTCCGAGAGGACCATAGAGATTTTCTACGTTTCTTCTGGCACAGAAACAATGAACCGTGTGAAGATTTAATCGAATACCGAATGCGGGTGCATGTGTTTGGGAATACACCCTCGCCGGCGGTAGCAACATATGGCTTACGCAAGACAGTTGAAAAAGCGGAAGTTGAGGTACAGAATTATGTTACCCGAAATTTTTATGTTGATGACGGGCTCATGTCTGTGGGATCAAGTGACGAAGCCATAAATCTGCTTCGAAAAACGCAACAAGTGCTGAAGGACGAAGCCAAGATCAGACTTCACAAGATAGCATCGAACAGCGTTGAAGTAATGGAGGCTTTTCCCGCGGAAGATTTAGAAAAGAATCTGAAGTCGCTCGACATTGCGGCTGATGAGTTACCGATCCAACAGAGCCTTGGCTTAGCATGGGACATCAATTCAGATAGTTTGAATTTCAGTGCACGCACCCCAAATAAACCGTTTACAAAAAGAGGTCTTCTGTCCATAATTAACAGTTTATTTGATCCTCTTGGGTTTATCGCACCTATAGTCATACATGGTAGGATACTTTACAGGGAGATATGTGAGGACAATGATGACTGGGACGAACCTCTACCCAATGATCGTGAAGAAGAATGGACTACATGGAAGCAATCTCTACATGCCTTGGAGAATCTGCGCATTCCGAGGATGTATACTCCAGTGTCCTTGAGTTCTGCTTCCTCAAGCAAAGTTCATGTTTACTCAGACGCCTCCGAAAAGGCAATTTCTGCGGTTGTGTACTTACAGACAATTGATGATTTAGGTGAAGTCAATATTGGATTTGTCTTTGGGAAGTCGAGAATAGCACCTAAACAAGGAAATACTATTCCACGCCTTGAGCTTTGTGCTGCTCTTCTAGCCACGGAACTAGCTCAGACAGTATTCCAACAGCTTGACTTAAATCAAGGTTCTGCAAAATACTATACAGACAGCAGGGTCGTTCTAGGATACCTACATAACCGATCTCGTCGATTCTACAATTATGTCAGCAACCGGATCAACATGATACACAGGCGATCTAAACCAGAGCAGTGGACCTTTGTTTCCACACAGAACAATCCAGCTGACATTGGAACTAGGTGTTACACATCTGGTGAGGACATGTCTCAAAGCGATTGGCTCAGAGGACCGATACAACTGAGGTCTGTAGAGAAGGTAGAGGACAAAAGCTTCCCCTTAGTCAATCCAGATGCAGATGCAGAAATACGACCCATAGTTTGTGTCAAGAAAACAGAGGTGAAGGAACATTTAGTGGATAGATTTGAGAAGTTCTCCTCTTGGACAAGATTGGTGAATGCAGTCTCATATCTAAAGAGATTTTGCAGAAGAAAAGCTGAGTTTTCTTTGCACAGTATTGAAGATACTCAGGAAGCAGAACGTTTCATTATCAGGGAGACTCAGAGATTCTGGTATGGAGATGATATGAAGTGTTTACAGGAGAAGAAACCACTTCCCTTGAAAAGCAATATCATTGCTCTTCATCCTTTTGTAGATAATAAAGGAATTTTACGTGTTGGTGGACGTCTAAACAAAGCACCCTTCACTATAGATGAAAGAAATCCTGTCATTCTTCCAGGAAAATCCCACATTGCCAGACTTCTCATTACTCATCTGCACGAGAAAGTGTATCATCAGGGTAGACTCATCACGGAAGGTACAGTGAGATCCAATGGCTTTTGGATTATCGGATGTAAGCGCCTTGTTAATTCCATCTTGTACAAATGTGTAGTGTGCAGGAAACTTAGAGGGAAGTTAGAATTTCAACAGATGGCGGACTTACCACCTGACCGAGTTACATCTGGACCTCCATTCAGTTCAGTAGGGGTCGATGTATTTGGGCCGTGGCCAGTAGTGGCACGACGAACTAGAGGGGGCCTTTCCCACAGCAAAAGATGGGCTGTGCTTTTTACTTGTATGAAAACAAGAGCAATACACATTGAGATCATTGAGGAGATGAGCAGCTCATCATTTATTAATGCCTTACGCCGATTCATCTCTATTCGTGGACCTTTGAAGGAAATCCGTTCCGATAGAGGAACCAACTTCTTAGGAGCCCTTGATGACATAAAGGCTGAAGCTGTCTACACTGAAAAGGGACCTATTCACAATTATCTTCTTGCGAATAGGATAACTTGGACTTTCAACCCCCCACATGCGTCACACCAGGGCGGAACCTGGGAAAGGATGATTGGAGTGTCACGAAAAATACTGAACTCAATGTTACTAAATGCGAACACAAAACAACTCACTCATGAAGTCTTGTGCACATTTATGTGCGAACTTTGTGCCATTGTAAATTCAAGACCCATTTGCTCAATATCATCTGATCCAGAAAATCCACAGATTATCAGCCCTTCGATGTTACTTACTCAGAAGGAATTTCCTGATATTCATCCTGTTAGCTCATCTGACATGAAGGAAATATACAGGAAACAGTGGAAACATGTGCAGTGCTTGTCGGATATCTTCTGGAAGCATTGGAGGAATGGTTACCTCCAGCAACTCCAAGTGCGACGTAAGTGGCAGACTGAACGTCCTGATGTAAAGGTTGGTGATGTTGTTCTTTTGCGCGACAAAGAAGCCCACCGTGGACAGTGGCCACTTGGACTGATTGTGAATGTCTTTAAAAGTGAGTGTGACCACAGAGTAAGAACAGTTGAGGTGCGCATTATCAAGGATGGTAAGCCAACAACATATATCCGCCCTATTACAGAACTTGTTATCTTGATTGACTAAGACAAACATTTGAAAACGTTGCTTGAGAATGTCTTTGTAAATTGTACTATCTTTCAGACATTAGGCGGGGAGTGTAATGTCTCCGAATCAACTATGTATGAGTTAACTTTTTGTTTTGTTTGTTAGAAGAGTTACTTCCCGTAGTTTTGGCAAGCGCCATATTTGTACATGTGCAAAAGTGTTACTAGATTTTGTGACTTTGTAGCCCTATAGCGTAAGTACACTTTCATAAGTTATAAACATAAGATCTTAATATTCATGTGTTAGGACGCAAACCTTTATTGTCAAATATTTCAGTAATTTAAAGCATTATCTACGCATGGTTAACATGACCTGGTTTTTTGTGTAAGGCTAAGCACGTGGTTTGTGTTCAAATCATTTTCTGAGATTTATACAATCTAGTCACTATGTTATACTTGTATATGTGAATTTGTAAGGATAATTTGTTGATTTCTTGCTGAGTTATTATTACATGCCAGTTTTATTGCTTATAAGTTGATTGCTGTTAAAAGAAAAAAGTATGGAAACCCGGTTTGGTCATAAATGTAGCATAATAGAGTCAATGTTTTAAGTCGATCATTTTGTATGTAATTTCTTATAACCTTTTTTGTAATTTACAGTCTTTTACTACGTTGATGCTGAATAAAAACAATGAGTCAGTACAGATTTGAATCTACATTATCTTACATTATCCATTATGGTCCCACCCTACCCCCGGGGGTCTTGATTTGAACAAACTTGAATCTACACTACCCGAGGATGCTTCCATATGAATAGGGCAAATCATGGCTTTGCTGTTCTTGAGAAGAAGATTTTTAAAGATTTGTTCCTCTGTATTCCTATGTAAAACTTTGATCACCCATTGTGGTCCCACCCTACCTCGGGTTTCATGATTTGAACAAATTTGATTCTACACTACCTGAGGATGCTTCCATATCACTATGACTACCCCCGGGGGATAAGATTTGAACAAATTTGATTCTACACTTCCTGATGATGCTTCCTTATAAATATGACTAATCAAATCTTTGCTGTTCTTGAGAAGGTTTTTAAAGATTTTTCCTATGTATTCCTATGAAAAATTTGATGGCACATTGTGGCCCCGACCTACCCCCGGGGGTCATGATTTGACGAAATTTGAATCTACACTATCTCACAATGATTTCACATAAGTTTCATACTTTCAAGCACAGTGGATCTCGAGAAGAAGGTTTTTAAATGAATACATTAAATTTTCACGATTTCAAAATTATCTCCCCTTTTGAAAAAGGCGTGGCTCTTCATTTGAACACATTTGAATCCCCTTTACCCAAGGATACTTTGTGGCAACTTTGGTTGAAATTGGCCCGTCTGTTTTTGAGAAGAAGATGAAAATGTGAAAAGTTCACGACAAGGACAATGACGACAACGACGACAGACAACAATTAAATTTTGAACAGAAAAGCTCACTTCAGCCTTCGGCTCAGGTGAGCTAAAAAATTTAGAAAAAAACATTACAAATTATAATTAGTGACATGCTCATAAAGTAGAACATCAGAAAAAGAATTTCAGAAAATTAAATACCTGGTAAAACTGATTTAGTCATATTCAACTTTAAAAACGTTTTTCCACTTTTGAAATCTTTGGGATCAAATCTTGGTTTTAAACTAAACAGTTCCTGTAGAAAATTCAAAATGTGAAAGATGATTCATATTATTACTTGCTTGCACAATTATATGATTTTATCAATGTAACATTTTATTATTTGAAAATCTTATCCTTTCTAAAATGAGGACCATTTACGAGGGGTTATCAAAAAGTTCGTGGACTAGCGCCATAAAATTAAAACCGCTTTAGGTACATCAATGAATTTTAATACATTTAGTTAGCATCATCTTTTCTATCTTTAGAATAAACCATAAATCATAAGTTTTATTTTTTAATAAATTGTTAATGTTTGTAAGCAATGGTATGTCCAAGCGGCGCAACCTCAAATAGGACGTTTTTTCTACCTGAGTGTAACTGAGAAAAAACTCTTTTGATATGAGCATTTGTCGTCAAAAAGTCGGGTTAATTCAGGCATGTGTTACAACACAATTGTTTTGTAAAATTTGCAATTTTTACCCCATTCGTAAATTTTATATGGAGTGTCCAAACAATTAAGGACTTGAAAATGGCGTCAAAAAGGGGCAGAGGTTTCTGTTTCCAACATTCTTTAAAGTTTCGCACCTGGAAAAAACTGGTATAGACCTAGGGGATGTTTAAACGGGCTACAGAAAAATAAAATATGTCCAGATTACTTGTTTTTAAATGTCCAAAAAGATTCAGAGAGATGAAAGATGCACAGTTAAAGTCAAGTTGTGGTCAGGGTGTCAAAATTCAGTCACGTCGAAAAGTGACGTTGATCACGTGTGGTAGAAATTGAACTCCAACAAGCTAAGTATTCTGGCATAATCAAGTGAGGACCTTTCCTTATGTATAGATACATTTACAATATTATATGCATTGAAAGCAGCTGTTCATGACATTGTAAACTCGCATAAACAAGACGGGCTTAAGTCCTTACTTAACGCCAGGTAATCACATCAAGATAAGTGTATAAGGTAGACGAAGCGGACATTGAGAAACAACGACGTTGTCGGACGTCATGAAACTAAACGGCGACAGCGCCGAGTGATCGTATAATGTCTTTTTTATTTTAGAATAATTTGGAAAATTATCAACGTATCAAGCTAAAATATTCAACATTTCTAAAACTTTTGTTGTTTTATGTTTTTCATAAATTTTGTAAGCACAGACTACATAGTATTAATTTCATCGCATCAGTCCACGAACTTTTTGATAACTCCTCGTATAGTAAAGTTTTATCCATTGAAACAGGAAAAAAAATAACACACCCAGATATTTGTAATTATTTACTTTAAACTAGATTCTTACATTGAACTCATTAGTAAGTTGTTTCTGTGCATCTAGTTTGTTCATATCTCCATACAGACTGAGAATTTCATCTCTCTTTTTATAGTGCGCCTTTCCTCTAAAGAACTCATGCAATGCGTGATACAGAAACACGTACTGGTCCTGAAAATAATTTTAATTGTTTAATCAGCATTTTCCCGCATATTTATGTTTAAACTGCATTTAATGAGATGACTAAATTCATACAATAATTATAATTATTTTAATAATTACTTTCCACTCTCTCTCTCTCTCTCTCTCTCTCTCTCTCTCTCTCTCTCATTTTTATGTGTGAGAAGAAAAATAACGTATTTAACATACCACATTCTGTATCATTGTCATTCTGTCTTTACGCATGGCCTTGACATACTCTATGACATTGACCTTGCCCTTGTCCTTGCCATATTTAGACAAAACGTCAAAGGCAATAAACGTCCCCGTTCTCCCTATCCCAGCACTAGAACAAAGTAAAAAAAAATCAACAATTTCATTATTAACACAATTAGAAAGTAACATATAAACAAGAGGCCCGCTCACCTGACTTTAATGTAACGATCCACAGATTAAAACAAATAAGCTGATAAATGAAGCTTTGTTGCCCAAAAGCTAGAGAAATAGAATGATCAGGGATCAGCAAAATATTAGTTTAGTACTTAGTGATCTATTTATTTGCCTGTTTCCCCCCCATTTGTCACTATCCTCATGCGGACTAAACAAAACAATAGTTCTAGGGACTATCAGTTAACACATTTCATTCCCCCTCACATTGGCCCCTATTAGTCTTTGAGGATTATTTAATGTACAAAGTTGCGGTATTTTTGTAACATTTTCATTTATCTATTATTTAAAAGTCTACCTGACCATTAAAAACTATGAAAGTACTTTTTATACTAAATATTATAATAATTCTTATATAATTCTGTCATTCAATTGATCTATTAGTCAAATTATTTAGAGTAATTAAATATCATAGATGATTAGCAACGAGGAATGACTTCTTTCAGTAGGTACAGAATTTCAAAATCTGGTAAAAACACCCTTGTTACTTGCAACTTTATATACTCTGTTTGCCCCCTAGATGCCCGGGAGATTTTCAAAGAAATAATCCATTTTCACTATATATTCAATATAGCCTGTAATGGACAGTCTGTATATTTTATTCTGAATTTCAATTTTGTCCTTAAGTTTCGATTTCTGTCCATTCCAATTTTATCAGAATTATACGTTTATCAAATGTTGAGAAAAACACGAGCGCCATATTCAGATCAGTGAGTGCAGTAGTTTGTTGTCTTCTAGCTGAAAGTACCAGACATACATCACGGTAATTATATATTAATTATTTATTACATACTAATGCTATATGCATGTACTTGTTACATTGAATTTGAATAGGAATTCGTTATATTACCGCTGTTTACAAAGTTTAATACATGTGTATAAGGAGCACTTTTTGTGTCATGATTTATATTGATAAAAAATTGCATTATATGTACATTCTGTATTGAGTACAAGTATTTATTATATGTACATTTCATTTGTAGTTAATCTATGTCAGAAAAAGGGACTTTGTCATACTATGTCAGAGAGAAAACTTTGTTATACAATGCCAGAATGTGTCCATGTTAATAAAGACATAGAATTGAACCTGTGTCGTTGGTATAAGAGAACACTACAACATTGACGTGATTCCATGAACGATCCAGGTTATGAGCATAATGCCTGTTACAGAAGAAACAGGATCGGGAACACGAAACAGAAAATTAACAGACAAAGGAAAGGTATATAAACATTTACAATACAATAAAACATTTAGAACACTGAGGATAACAAGTGGTGTGATAAGACAGATTATTTCTGATAGCTTATGAATCTCCAGAAACAGTAAGAAGAAAGTATGCTGCATTGCTTGAGGATTATGGGCGTTTTCTTGTTATATTTGATGAACTTGTCTCTCAATTAACTGACAAGGAGGAGAGAGAAGAATTGCTTAAGACTCATTATGATTACGATGTGTTTCTCATGAACTTTAAGAAAGAAATAGAGGAGTTCTTTTCCTACCACCAGAGTGTAAAGGAGGAATCACAAGTAGAAGCAACAAAAGAAACTGTTAGAAGCTTGAAGTCCAAGTATCGCACATCTGTAGCTACAAGTATATCATCCAAACGCCTTGAAGAAGAACAAAAAGTAGCAGAGTTAGAAGCTCGCAAAGCAGCAATTCCCATTAGAAGGAGTTAGAGATAGCGAAAGTAAAAACTAACACTTGAAGAAGAAGAGTTAGACTTGAATACAAATATTGCTATTGCGAATGCTAAAACAGAAGTTCTTTAGAAATATGAAAGGTGTGGTGATGTTGATTTGCATGATGATGTTTCTAACATTGATATAGTGAATCCTAGAACATTAGCACCAAAACCAACGCCAAGAACGCCTTTGTTTCCTAGTGAGTTTGCATCAGTACCGTCCTTGTTTGAGAGGCCTTTGAATCCGAATGCAGAGACATTCATACCCAAACGTGAAGAAAATCCACCACTTGACCTTCATTGCCTTGATGAAACAAAACCACAGACCTCTGAATCTGATGCTATGCAGTGTGTTGTACAATACCTCAGGAAACCTGTACCAGAGATAAAGAAATTTGGAGGCAATCCGTTAGAATTTAGACGTTTCGTCAGACAGTTTAATACCCAAGTAGTAATGAATACTAAAGACAATGATGAACGGATGAATTATCTTGAGCAAATGACTTTTGGGGAAGCATACAGAGTAGTGTCTGGATTTAGTCATATGTCAGGAGACAGAGCATACAAAGCAGCTATGAATCAGCTTGAAGAGCGGTACGGAGACATTGAGGTAATTGCAACAGCATTCATAAAGAAGGCATTAGACTGGCCAGCAGTGAAGGATGCAAAGATGCTAGATGAGTTCCCCTTGTTCCTTGTGGAGTGTCAGAACGCAGCTGAAAATATCGACAGTGTTTCTGTCTTAGATTACTTAGACAACATAAAGAGACTTATGACAAAACTTCCTGTGTATATGCATGATAGGTGGAGAAATGTTGTACTGAAAACTAAAGAAGCCAAGAAGACAGTGAAGTTTAAAGATTTTGTAAGTTTTGTGAGAACAGAAGCTAAGAAATCGAATGATCCTACGTATGGTAATGCATCTATTGGTGGAAATTCCAGAAATCAAGATCGTAACCAGAAGAGAGCTGTTGCTTCTACTGATGTTACAAGTGAAGAACAAGACTTTAACGTACGAGAACAGAAATGTGAATTCTGTGAAAGTAGTACCCATGCACTGAATGACTGCAAGAACATTGTAACCAAAGGACTTCAGGACAGAAACAACTACCTGCGAAATAATGGACAGTGTTATGGATGTGTTAGGGAAGGCCACATAACTAAAAAGTGCCAAGCAAGACTTAAGTGTTCCATATGCAGCAGGCGTCACCCTACGATCCTACATGATCCTGCGAAATGTGTAGTAAAATATTCAGATGAAAACAAAGAAAACATTAATCTTATGTCAACAGATGTCAAAACTACATGCAAGTTCTGTAAACCTCACATCAGTGCCTTTAGTGATAAAGGGGCCGGAGAAACAACCTGTGCTATGACAATAATTCCTTTGAGAGTAAAGCTGAAAAATAAACCGTATAGCATAGGAACATATGCATTCTTTGACTCTGGCAGCATTGTGTCATTTTGTACAGAAAACATAATGCATAGACTTGGAGCAAATGGCAAGAACAAACAAATTACCATAAAGACAATGGGGAATTCTCAGAGATTGAACACGTATGTTATCAGTGGTTTGCAAGTGTGTGGAATTTCAATGGAACATGTGATTAATCTACCGAATGTGTATACAAAGGAACATAAGCCTGTATCAAAACAACACATTCCAACGCAGCAAGAGTTAAAACAGTGGCCACATCTGTCAATAATTCAAACATCAGAAATAGATGCAGAAATTGGAATTATGATTGAAAATAATATTCCAGATGCCTACTCTCAATTCGAAGTAATTGCTGGGCCAAGTGGTTCTCCCCGTGCAACAAGGACACGACTAGGATGGATAGTATGGAATGTCATAAAAGAAAATGCATCATATACATTTGATGAAAACAGAGTAGCTATAGAAGATGCTCAGGAAAGAGACAAAAACTTAGAAAAGATGGTGTAAGATTCCATAAACTATGACATTCCAAGAACGTCTTGTGGATGATGTAAAAGAAAACTCTTTAGAAGATAAGAGCTTCTTAACTCAAGTTTCAGAATCTATTCACATTCAGGATGGTCATTACTCAAATGGACTTCCGTTTAAGGATCCCTTAATTCGGTTACCCAACAATATCATGCAAGGATTTCAGAGACTTGGGAGTCTAAAGAAGAAACTGTTAAAGGACCCAAAAGTTAGAAATGACTGTGTGTCTTTTATGAACAAGCTGTTTGAGAAGGGATATGCAGAACCTGTTCTTCAAAGTCAGCTACAAAGAGAGGATGGCAGAGTATGGTACCTACCGCACCATGGAGTTTACAACGATAAAAAACCAGGGAAGATCAGAGTTGTGTTTGACTGCTCTGCAGTGTATATGGGGATTTCACTAAACAGCCAGTTAATCCAAGGACCCGACCTAACAAATGGTTTACTTGGTGTACTTTTAAGATTTCGTCAGGAGAAAATTGCTATACAAGGTGATATTGAGGCTATGTTTCACCAAGTATTAATCCCTGAACAAGATCGACACTGGCTAATATTTCTGTGGTGGAAGGATGGCAATCTGGATGCCAACCCTGAACAATACAGAATGAAAGTTCACATCTTTGGAGCCACTTCCTCTCCTACTTGCTGTACCTATGCACTACAATAGACAACTAAAGAATATGGTTCCGACTTTGATCATACAGTGGTAACCACAGTACTCAAGAATATGTATATAGATGACTGTTTGTCTTCGGTTGACACAAAGAAGAAAGCGGCCTTACTCATTAAAGATTTGTCTACACCTTGTAGCAAAGATGGTTTTCATCTGACAAAATGGATTAGTAACTCAAAACAAGTTTTTGAATCTATTCCAGAAAATGATAGAGCTAAAGTTGTGCAGGAATGGAACCTTGAAGGTGAAAGTGAAACACTCGTAGAACGTGCACTAGGTGTGCACTGGTTTGTTAACAGTGACCATTTAGGATTCCTGATAAACATTAAAAATCAGCCAACAACCAGAAGAGGAATTCTATCAATAGTGAGCTCAATAGTTGATCCTCTTGGTATCGTGTCACCTTTTATGATGACAGCAAAACACTTCTTCAAATAATGTGCAAAAATTCAATTGGATGGGATGAAGAAATTACAGGAAGTCAGCTTAAGGACTGGAAAAATTGGCTGACACAAGCAAAGGAACTTGAAAATGTAACACTTGAAAGATGCTACAAGCCACAAGACTTTGGGAAGACGATATGTCAGGAGTTGCACTGTTTTGCAGATGCAAGTGAAGTTGGAATAGGAGTTGTTATATATCTACGACTCATCAGTGAGACTGGAAAAATCCACTGTTCCTTTGTTCTTTGAAAATCAAGAGTGACACCATTAAAAACAGTGACGATACCGAGGCTCTAGTTGACGGCATCAACTTTAGCAGTGAAATTATGCAAGATAGTTACAAAACAGTTGGAATATTAAGTTGATCAAGTTTACTTCTGGACAGATAGCATGTCAGTTCTTCGTTACATAAATAACACAAAAACTCGTTTTCAAACATTTGTTGCCAATAGGCTTGCCATAATTCATGCAGCAACTACAGTCAACCAGTGGCACAACGTCAACTCTAAAGATAATCCAGCAGACTGTGCGTCAAGGGGAATACCGGTAGTAAGTAGATTTCTTGACTCAGCAGCATGGTTCAGTGGTCCTGAGTGGTTATGGAAACCAGATGTTTCATGGCCGTCTACTGAAATCATTAGTGACTCGTTAGAAATTGACAGTGCTGAAATAAAAGACATCGTCAACACAGCAGTTGAAACAGAAACAGTGGAAGGAATAGAGAGATTGCTCCAGCACTTCTCTTCCTGGAAAAGGCTGACATCAGTGACTGGATGGCTGCTCTTAGCAAGAGAAAACCTCAAAAGAATAATGGAGAGGAAAAGAGAACGAAGATCAAGAATGATATCAGAGGGATTTACAGAAGAGAAAAAACAAGAATTGGAAATGAAGGAGAAGCATAACAGATTGAAAAATGCTACACGAAGACCTTCATTAAATGTAGACATTCTTGACAGAGCAGACACAGACATTTTGAAGTATGTGCAGATGAAGCATTTTGCCCAAGAATTTAAAGACTTGAATTCAAGTGAAAATGGAATTGTGAAAAGGTTATCAAGATAAGCCAAGTTAGACCCAATTGTTCACAGTGGAGGTCTACGTGTAGGTGGTAGACTTAAGTTAATGGATACAACTCTTAACAGTAAACATCAAATTATTATTCCCAAAGAGTCTGTATTAGCCAGGTTGATAGCAGAGGAAGCACATAAATCTGTCGGACACTTAGGAAAAAATTCAACGCTGGCACTTATCCGTGAGAAATATTGGATTCTTCGTGTGTCATCAATTTTGAAGTCCATCATTTCCAGATATGTTATATACAGAAGATATCAGGCACCTACTTTGAAACAGAAAATGGCAGACATTCCCAGCGAGAGACTGAAACCTGATGACCCCCCTTTTACTTGAGTTGGAATGGATTATTTTGGTCCATTTGAGCTTAAAAGAGGAAGAAGCATAGTAAAACGGTACGGTGTCATATTTACTTGTCTATCTTCCCGAGCAGTACATTTAGAGGTTGCCTTTTCCTTGAATACAGACTCCTGTATTGACGCCATTCGAAGGCTTATTGCACGACGAGGAAAACCATCTTATATAGTGTCTGATAATGGAACAAATCTCGTAGGCGCAGAACGTGAGCTAAGAACAGCACTTCATTCCTGGAATACGAACAGCATTTCGAGTCAATTATTACAGTCATGAATTGAATGGAGCTGTAATCAACCGGCTGCGTCTCACTTTGAAGGAGTATGGGAACGCCTCATCAGGATAGTCAGGAAAATCATGTATTCTGTTCTACAAAAACAAACAATTCATTTGGATAATGAGGGACTATTAATCTTGTTTTGTGAAATTGAAGCTATTATGAATGGACGACCCCTTACAGAAGCTTCAGATGATCCGAATTACCTTTGTGCACTTACACCAAATCATATACTACTCATGAGGTCAGAAGAGAGCTTCCCCCCTGGAATTTTCCATACACCTGACAACTACTCAAAACGCCGATGGAAGCAGATTCAGTATTTGGCTGATGTTTTCTGGACATGTTGGGTTAGAGAATACGTACCCCTGTTCCAACAGAGACAGAAGTGGCTGAAACAGGTAAGAAACTTACAAGAGGGTGATTTAGTTCTCATCGTGGAAAACACTCCAAGAAACGCATGGAATCTCGATAGAGTGCTCGAAGTGATAAAGGACAACTATGGTGTTGTGCGTGTTGCAAGGATAAAGACAGAGTCTTCCATTATTACGCGGCCAGTGACAAAACTTTGTCTTCTTTTGGAAACAGATTGTGAAAAAGAGAAAACAAATCAGTGAACCTTTGTGTAATAAAACGTTTAGTGAATGAACTCATTTTGGATACATCGTTTTGTCCATTTTTGATATATTGAGAAATATGTTTTTGTAAAAACACATTAAGGGGCCGGTGTAATGGACAATCTGTATATTCTATTCTGAATTCCAATTTTGTCCGTAAGTTTCGATTTCTGTCCATTCCAATTTTTATCAGAATTATACGTTTATCAAATGTTGAGAAATGCACGAGCGCCATATTCAGATCAGTGAGTGCAGTAGTTTGTTGTCTTCTAGCTGAAAGTACCAGACATACATCACGGTAATTATATATTAATTATTTATTATATACTGTCTGCTATGTGCATTTACTTGTTACATTGAATTTGAATAGGAATTCGTTATATTACCGCTGTTTACAAAGTTTTATATAAGGAGCACTTTTTGTGTCATGATTTATATTGATAAAAAGTTGCATTATATGTACATTCTGTATTGCGTACAAGTATTTATTATATTTACATTTCATTTGTAGTCAATCTATGTCATACTATGTCAGAGAGAGGGACTTTGTTATACAATGCCAGAATGTGTCCATGTTAATAAAGACATTGAATTGAACCTGTGTCGTTGGAACAAGAGAACACTACATAGCCCCACCCTAATATCAGAGCCCCTGACCCGGGGGCCAAGAATTTCACAATTTTGGAAGAAGCCCTCTTGCTCATCATAACAATTCACTTAGTATGTTTCCTTAATAATAATGGACAGAGAAGTAAATTTTCAAAGAAATAATGCATTTCTTCTATATATCCAAAAGAGCCTCACCCTAACACCAAAACCCCTGAACCCAGGGTTATGAATTTCAAACTTTTTGAAAATACATCCTTGCTTATCATAACTATGCAATTAGTTTTTCTGTTAAATACCCAGGAGCATAGAAGATTTTCAAAAAAACTGCATTTCCACAATGTATTCAATACCCCCCCCCACCCCCCATCCACATGAACCCCTGGATCTGGGGCCACAAGTTTCAAAATTTTGGAAGAAGCATCTTTGGTCATCATAACCATCCACCTAGTTTATTTGCTAAATACATAGGAGCAGAGAAGAGGATTTTCAAAGAATTAATGCAGTTTCACTATGTAATCAATAGAGTCCAACCCTAACACCAGAACCCCTGATCCAGGGGCCAAGATATTCACAATTTCGGAAGAGGCGCCCTTGCTCATCATAACTATATACTTGGTTTATCTACTAAATACCCAGGGGCAGAGAAGATTTTCAAAGAAATAAAGCACTTTCACTTTTTAATCAATAGTGCCCCAACCCCCTCCCACAGAACCCATCACCCTGGGGCTACAAATTTCACAATTTTGGAAGAGGCACCCTTGATCATCATAACCATGCACCTAGTTTATCTGCTTAATATACAGGGGGAAAGAAGAAAATTTTTTAAAGAATATAAGCATTTTCACTCTATGATCAATAGAGCCCAACCTTAACTCCAGAACCCCTGACTCTGGGGCCATGAATTTCACAATTTTAGTAGAGGGTTCAGTGCTTATTACAATCATGCCCCATCCTTAAGACCCTAGGGGTGCAGGGACCACAAAATTCATACAGTAATTTTTTTCCCCTTCACTCATAGATGTTCTATGCCAAAATGGATTGAAATTGGTTCAGCGGTTGCAGAGAAGAAGCTGAAAATATTCAAATGTTAACGCACAATGCACGACGACGGACGGAAACGGATATCAATAGGTCACCTGAGTGACTCAGGTGACCTAAAAGTGAGTAAGAATGGTATACCTTTGTCAAATAGTTATGATTACATGTACTTGTCTTAACGAATATTAATGTTGTTTTATTTTAGTTTGATTAATTGCAAGAAAAAAAATTCTGTAATCTTATCAGAAATGTCAAGCCTAAATATCCTATGATCTTCATATATGGTCTTTATCCTTATGAATCTTGTTTAATTACATTGATGAAGTGACACATGTACCTCGGCTAAGAAATCACGTGTTGATCCCTTAATAAACAATACATGTCTTTTTGTGATTACCTGCAGTGAACAATTATTGGATGTTGTGTTGATCTGATCTTGTGTCGAAAGTGCCGGTGGAAGACAACCAGGTTCAGTGGATTTGGAGTCCCGTGATCTGGCCATCGGGTGTAATGATACTGTACGACCGTTCTTGACCCAGAAACCTAATTATATAGATAAATCGTAATCAAATTACTGTTTTATGCTACAATTTACACCTTGTTGTCTCTTTTATTTCGCTTTGTTTAGTTTATTTTTATTTTTCTCTAGTCTTAAATTAATACGAAATAATTTACCTTTTGAAAATTACAACATTATATATTTCTTTATACTGTTGAATACATATTTTCACGGGGTCAAATTTTCGTGGTTTGAGAAAAAAAAAAATATTGGTTCATGGGGATTTGATTTCGTGGTTTAAGAAGTGTTTCGAGTTGTTATATAATGGAATTTTATATTTCGTGACGTCCATGAATTCACGGCCCTCCTTATTCCACGGAATCAACGAAAATTACCCCCCCCCCAAAAAAAAAGAAATTTAGTGATCTCACAGACCTTCTTGTTGCGCAGTGTCAATCTTCTTTCGACGAAGTAAGCATACTGTTTCTCTTCAATCAATGTTACGAAAAATGGATTGATATCCAGCTCTTTTTCTTTCTCTGGCCAGTATTGATGACACTTCACCTAATTTATGCAATTATAATTGAATATCCTTATTAAGTAATCATTATTTTATACAGAGGGAAATATATTTTCTCTTATAAGTTCATCAAAATATTCAAAGATTGATATTGACGGTTTATAGATTCATTAATTTGAGAATGGTTAATGATGTAACTAAAATTAATTTCAAATAGGATTCAAATAAATTAAAAATCCTTAGAGACTTAAGGACTAAGGACCAAGACGCTCTCTTCATAACGTTGACAAAGCCATTCTTTGAAATAGGAGTTATACAGATTCCCCGATATATTTCTTTGTAAAATTTTAATTCCCCATTGTCACTGACTGATTCCATGCGGTTTTCAGAGAAAAAAATATTTAACAGATTTTTTTTTTCATCAATCATAAGCCCAACAGGCAAGATTTCAAAACAAGAGGCCCAAGGGCCTTAACGGTCACCTGAGTACAATACAACAATTTAGAGGATCCATAGAGTATTAAAATGAAAGGTGAAGCTTTGTTGCCCAAAAGCAAGAAAAATAGGGTGATCAGGATCAACAAAATAATTAGTCTAGTATTCATTAATAGTTTATAGATTAGGTTCTAATCTGTTCCTCATTTATCACTATTACCATAAGTATATTAACAAACTATCAGTGCTTCTATACTCTTTTAATTCCTTGTTGTAATCTCTTACATTGGCCTCTCTTGGTCTTTGATGAACATTTAATAAGACAAGTTATTTTTGTCTCATTTTTATTTATCTATTACTTACAAGTTCACCTGATCATTAAAACTATGAAAATACTTTTTGAATTATACAATAAAAATTCTTGCATAATTCTCTTATTCTATTAACCTTTCAAGTACATTATTTACAGTGATTAATTATCAAAAGTAAACGGCAAAGGGGAATAACTCCTCTCAGTAGAATGCAAATTGAGCCCTGGCTAGGACCAGAACACTTGACCAAATGGTCCAGATGTTTAAAAATGTGGTAAAAATACCCTTCCTTATTACAACTTTTACTCTTTTTGCCTCTGATATGCCCAAGTGCAGAGAAGATTTTTAAGGAAATAATGCATTTTTCCTACAGATTCACTATATTATCAATAGAGCCCCCCCCCCCCCCTTCACCACCAAGAAACACCAGAGCCTCTCACCCTGGGACCAGAAGTTTGCTCTTCATAAGTAATCATTTTCTTTACATGTATCTGCTTAACATTAAGGAGCTGACAGGATTATTTAATAGAATTAATGCATTTTCACTATATTATCAACAGCCCCACCCTTACACCAGCAAATCTGACCCAGGGGTCATGCAATTCACTACTCTGGAAGAAGCACTCTTGTTCATCATAACTATATACTTAGCTTCTCTGCTTTTTAACCAGAAGCAGAAAAGAATATTTTCAAAGACATTTTGCTTTTTAACTATATAATCAATAGAGCCCCCCCCCCCCCCTTTTCACCAGAACCCTTGACCCTGGGGCCATGAAATTCATAATTTTAGAAGAGGCATCCTTGCGTATCATAACAATGTACTTAGTTTGTTTAAATAGTACCCAGGGGCAGAGAAGAAGATTTTCAAAGAAATAATTCACCTTCACTATAGGAGCTATATAGCCCCAACCTAGCACCAGAACCCCTGTCCCTGGGGCCATGAAATTCACAATTTTGGAAGAGGCGTCCTTGCTTATCATAACAATGTACTTTGTTTGTTTAAATAATACCCAGAAGCAGAGAAAAAGATTTTTAAAGCATTAATGCATTTTCACTATATTATAAATAGAGCCCAGTCCTAACATCAGAACCCCTGACCCAGGGGCCATGAAATTCACAATTTTGGTAGAGTCACTCTTGCTTATCATAACTATGTATTTCATTTGTTTAAATAATACCCAGGAGTAGAGAAGAAGATTTTGAAAGAAATAATGCACTTTCACTATATGATCTATATACCCCCCCCCCCCCAGCACCAGAACCCCTGACCCTGGGGCTATGAATTTCACAATTTTGGTAGAGTCACTCTTGCTTATCATAACTATGTATTTAAAATGTTTAAATAATACCCAGGAGTAGAAAAGGAGATTTTCAAAAAAAATGCACTTTCACTATATGATCTATATAGCCCCGTCCTAGCACCTGAACCCCTAATCCTGGAGCTATGAATTTCACAATTTTGGTAGAGTCACTCTTGCTTATCATAACTATGTATTTAATTTGTTTGAATAATACCCAGGAGTAGAGAAGAAGATTTTCAAAGAAATAATGCACTTTCACTATATGATCTATATAGCCCCGTCCTAGCACCTGAACCCCTAATCCTGGAGCTATGAATTTCACAATTTTGGTAGAGTCACTCTTGCTTATCATAACTATGTATTTAATTTGTTTGAATAATACCCAGGAGTAGAGAAGAAGATTTTCAAAGAAATAATGCACTTTCACTATATGATCTATATAGCCCCCCCCCCCCCCCCAGCAGCAGAACCCCTGACCCTGGGGCTATGAATTTCACAATTTTGGTAGAGCCACTCTTGCTTATCATAACTATGTATCTAATTTGTTTAAATAATACCCGGGAGTAAAGAAGAAGATTTTGAAAGAAATAATGCACTTTCACTTTATGATCTATATATCCCCACCCTAGCACCAGAACCCCTGACCCAGGGGCCATGAATTTCACAATTTTGGTAGACTCATCCTTGCTTATCATAACTATGTATTCAATTTGTTTCAATAATACCCAGGAGTAGAGAAGAAGATTTTCAAAGAAATAATGCACTTTCACTATATGATCTATATAGCCCCCCCCCCCCCCCCCCAGCAGCAGAACCCCTGACCCTGGGGCTATGAATTTCACAATTTTGGTAGAGCCACTCTTGCTTATCATAACTATGTATCTAATTTGTTTAAATAATACCCAGGAGGAGAGAAGAAGATTTTGAAAGAAATAATGCACTTTCACTATATGATCTATATAGCCCCACCCTAGCACCTGAACCCCTGACCCTGGGGCCATGAATTTCACAATTTTGGTAGACTCATCCTTGCTTATCATAACTATGTATTCAATTTGTTTCAATAATACCCAGGAGTAGAGAAGAAGATTTTCAAAGAAATAATGCACTTTCACTATATGATCTATATAGTCCCCCCCCCCCCAGCACCAGAATCCCTGACCCTGGGGCTATGAATTTCACAATTTTAGTAGAGTCACTCTTGCTTATCATAACTATGTATTCAATTTGTTTCAGTAATACCCAGGAGGAGAGAAGAAGATTTTGAAAGAAATAATGCACTTTCACTATATGATCTATATAGCCCCGCCCTAGCACCAGAACCCCTGACCCTGGGGCCATGAATTTCACAATTTTGGTAGAGGGCTCAATGCTTATTACAATCATGTCAACAGTTTGACTGCTTGATGTCCAGGAGTAAAGAAGAAGATTTTTAAAGATTGCATTAATTTTGGTGGTTTTAGCCCCACCCCTCAAGCCCCAGGGGGGCAGGGACAATGAAATTCACAAATTTTGTTCCCCTTTACACATAGATGCTATATGCAAAAATTGGCTGAAATTGGTTCAGCGGTTTCAGAGAAGAAGCTGAAAATGTTCAAATGTTAACACACGACGCACGACGCACGACGGACGACGGACGACGCACGACGACGGACGAAAACAGATAGCAATAGGTCACCTGAGTGACTCAGGTGACCTAAAAAGAAAGCTTATTAATTGGGACGGTTACATATGATACATGACTTTTTTTAGTCATTTTCTTCTTAAAAACACAGTTGATTTTTTTCCATGCATAATTCTTTCAAACCCTCTTTTGTTATCCTCAGTCAAGTTTGAGCAAACTTGAATTTGCATTAGACGAGGATTATGTTTTATTAAAATGTTAATTATAGTCCTTTTGTTCTTGAGTGCAATATTTCAACTTTTCCTTTATCTATTTTATCTATTTATGGTCCACAAGTGTCTCAACCCAAGACCCGGGTCATAATTAGAAAACCTCGAATCTGCACTAAATTAGAAAACTTTCACGTAAATATTGCTTGTATCGTTTCGCAGGTAGGTTAAGGCTTCCCGTAGAATATGACAGTGCACTCTGTGCCTTCACATCTCTTAACTACCAAAATATGACGTCATAATGGAAAATGACGTCAGGTCTCTACAAAGTTGAGGTGTTATGACGGGGAGAGTGTCATGAACTTTACACTTTATTTCAAACTGCATGTAAAATGCTAGATAACTATTGCAAAATTCACGGGTCGTGAAAGGTTTTTTAAGTCTTATATGTCCGAATATTTTAAAAATACACCGCTTACCTACCCTTGATTGAAATTCATCATGTTCAAAATGCTTATGAAAAATATACTTTTGAAATGTACTCTGTTTTATACCCGTGGTTGGAGGTAGAATTTATTTTGTGTGTATAAAAGAGTCTGGCACAGGTGATTAATGAGGATTAATCTGAGAATTTTTGTGGAAATCTGTAAGAAGAGGTTCTTCTCTAACTGAATCTTGCTTGGGAAAAATGTGTGTTGGCTTTGTTTTAATACAGATTACGATATTGTGTGGAAAATACCCTCAAATTTGTAGGTTAGTTGAATTTCTCAGGAAATATTTTGTACCCAAGTAATACTACGACTTTTCCCAAACACATTTCGGATACACAAGGATACGATGAGTTTTTTTATATAACAAAATGTTAATAATTATTGTGTTAATCAGCTGCGACGAAGCGATTTATATGAAACACTTCAAAAATTATAAATGACCGTCACGTGATCAACAAAGTCATGTGATATCATAACAAATATGCTAATATATAGCCGAGGAAACCCTTCATATAAATTGGAAGTACTAAAGTTCAATACTTATAAATTAAAACCAAAACCGACCTGGCAATGACATATTATGTTTTGAGCGCATTTTAAAGCTTCGGGAAGCCTTAACATAGCTGCGTTTACTGTTCTTTAATAAAGAGACTAAAAGAGCCGAACCACACTTTTGGATGTTTAACAGATATTTCTTTGAAAAAAATATAGTGCTATTATTTTTTTTTACAAGTCTTAATTTGCACTATTCGAGGGTGATTTTTTTTTTTGATAGAATTGGCTTAGTCGTTTTATCAGTTGGAAAGTTGAAACCGTGAATAGTAAAAAGACAGACAGACAGACGAACTGACAACATACAAATTTCATTCTAGAAAAATAACTTTGAGCATTTGGCACAAGCGAGCTAAAGTTAACTGACTATTTAAACAATTTTGTCAGTAAAATGCTTCCTTTTCATTCCTATACAGTGTTTTAATTCCCATTAATACCGTTCACGGTAGCTCAGTCGGTAGAGCGCTCGCTCCGTGATCGGGAGGTCGTGAGTTCGAATCTCGGCTGCGACTGACCTAAGTCGATAAAAAATGGGTAGCAACTGTTCCTTCGCCATGCGCTCGGCACTTTGAAGTGAAAGTTGCAGGTCCTTCGGATGAGACCTTAAAAACCGAGGCCCCGTGTCACGGCAGGCGTTGGCACGATAAAATCCCTCACTGCTCAATGGCCCTGAGTGCCGAGTAAAGGTCAAAATTTGAAGCCCTTCACCGGTATTTGGTGACGTCTCTATATGAGTGAAAAATTCTCGAATGGGACGTAAAACAATATATAATCAATCAATCAATTCCCATTAAGAATATATAAGGCGAACTACGTAATTTATCTTTTATGAAACCTTTGGTCCCTCAATAAGGTTGGTCAGCATTACAATGTATTCTACTTGTTCCTGCCATATCATTCTCCAGTGGTCAACAATAGTGTTTTTAAGTGGGCCTACAGGAAAGAAAAAAATGTTTAGTTTTATAACTTTAATATATTAGATTCTCTTAAACTATTTACTATCAGGTAATTTAATTAAAATCAACATACCTTGAGATGCAATGAATTCCCGTTTCCCTTCCATATTCTAAACATGAAAAGTGACTGTAGAGTTTACCATTACTATATTAGATTACATCAAGTATATATGTATTATCTCAACGAAAATGTTAACTTAGTTCTGTTAATTACCTCAATGTAGTTTGCATTAATGTAATCGGAAGCAAAGCCCTGACTAGCTTCTAAAATAACGCGGGAATGATCATCTACAAGGAAAAAAAAACATATGTAGTGCTTTATAGATGAAATATATTGATATAAAAACGTTCAAAAGTCCATTCAAACAATAAAATCAGGAGCAGAGCAAACATGGATCTCTCAAACATCAGAGGTGGGATCAGGTGCCAGGGAGGAGATAAAATAAGAAACAAAATGATAATGAGGGATAGATTAAATACACTATAAAAGGACTCTCAAAGATTTTAAATTCTAAGAACTTGAATTTCTAAATAAGTTTCGCCTATCATACGAACTTTACACCGAGGAATAAATACTGGAAGGTTATTTAAAGTATAATATTTTCAAAGTTTTCAATTAATTCTAATTGCAATAAAGTTCTTTGATAAATTAATTTATAAAATTTTCTCTAAAACAAAGAGAAGTTAAAATCTTACATGGAAAGGTGGTTTTGAATCTGTTTTTGGACATGTTTTCCTCTGTTTTTGCGCTTTCACAATCAAATCTTTCTCCATATGGAAGCATCTAAAAGTAGATATTTTTTGGCATTCAGACAAGTAGGATATGAAGACAATTTTATATGGAAAATTGACAGTATGGATATACCTTAATAAGGTCAAAGTTTCAGCTTTACATTGAGTAAGGAATGTATAACAATTTCTTAATGGAAAGTGAAGTGTTCATTACTTAAGTCGTAAATGTTTCGAAAAAAAATAACCAAAGCAACGTTACATAGATGCTTTTCGTTGATAAAACGATAAAACACAAAATATATGTAAACATATTTTATGACAACATGGTCAATTCAATAGTTTTATTATACTTAACATTTCAACTTATTACTACTAAAGATACATTCTTGTTTGGTATTTTCTAAGGAAAAAATCTAATAATAGTCATTAAGATTGAAAAATATAAACAAGAGGGCCATGGGCCACATCGCTCACCTGAGTTCATTGGCTAGAAAGAAGCAGAAATCAGTTCAGCATTGAACGGGGGATGGGGGGGGGGGGCTTTAATTTATACTACCTCAGGTGCTTCCATATCAATGTTACTAATCATGGCTTTGCTGTTCTTAAACTGAGAATTTTAACGATTTTTTCCCTATGTTTTCAAATAGGTAGCGACTGTTTCTTCGCTAAGCACTCGACACTTTGAAGTGAAAGTTGCGGGTCCTTCGGATGAGACCTTGATAACCGAGGCCCCATGTTACGGCAGGCGTAGGCACGCTAAAGATCCATCACTGCTCAATGACCCTCAGTGCCGAGTAAAGGTCTAAATTTGAGGCCCTTCACCGTGTATGGTGACGTCTCTATATCAGTTAGAATTATTGAACGGGACGTAAAACAAGATACAATCAATCAATCCTATAGTTTCCTATGTAAAACTATGATCTCTCATTGTGGCCCCACCCTACACACCCTAGATTTCGATAAATTTGATTCTACACTACCTAAGGATGCTTCTATAACAATATGACTAATCATGGCTTTGCTGTTCTTGAGCAGAAACTATTTTCAAGATGATTCCTATATTTTCTTTCTTATGCAAAACTGAATTGACCCTCTGTTTTGCCCCAATGATTTGAACAAACTTGATTCTACATTACCTAAGGTTGCTTCTGTATAAATATGACTAATAATGGCTTAGTTGTTCTTGAGAAGAAGATTTTAAATATATTTCTTATATAAAATCATTTCACAGTAAAAAAGGATTTACCACGAGTAAGTTTCAACAATGTAATTAACTATGAGTAAGCAGTAATTAACTAACAAAGATTGCATAGAAGTCGATGGAGACAAGCGATTTTTTTTTTAAATTAAAATTTAAAAAAATAAGAATATCAATAAATACTGTGGTGATAAGATGCATCAAAACATTAGAAATAGAATGACAATTTAAAACGATTTTTTACCAGATAATTTTTTTTTTTAAATTGATTTTTTTTATTAATTAAAAACAGAGGAAGATAACAATTACGAAAATTTAAGGTCATAAATTAGGACACATCCCACCCTTACATGCTAATAGTAGGCCTTTCAACTGCCGCTAATGTTCGATATAAAGAACGATAACTCATTACCGGAACTTGTTTAAAGCAGGTGCGAGATATCTAATTGTTTTTTAACAGGTCAATTTTCAGCATTTCCCAATTTTTCCTTTGCTGTCAGCGGAATCCAGTGGTTTTAAAATTTAGCACAAATGTTAGAATTATTTATAATGTAGTTACCGACATTGTTAAATTACATATAAGTGAATTTTTTAATAAAAATATAAAGTGAAATCTATCCCCCTTCTTAATTTTAACCTGATTGAATTTTTATACTTGGTCGTTCTTCTTCGTGCTTACTAAAACGAATAAGATAATTAATTGTTGCATTTATTTGTAGAAATGTATATCTTTGAATAAGAAGCACAACAATGTACACACAAATAACGACATTATATTTTCTTCCTCGTAACAACTGTCGGAGAGAGTTAAAAATCTTGAATATAGTCCGTTCCCCATTCATTTGATTCCGTTATTTCAGGTAGAGTACGGACATTCTCCTTGTTTTGGTCAACCCTTTTGTGTGCAAAACAATGTAAGGAACCCTTTTGTGTACATAACAATACCAACTGAAGCAGCCTATATGTCATTCCTATAAACGATAACTCATAAATCGGCACTTTGTTGGTCGTTTTTTGCACTTGAGTTACCTGTCCTTAAAACACAACATCGTACAAATCAATTATTAATAACTGAATTTTTATAAGATTTAATTAAAGGTATGCATATATTATAATCTTTTTTGAGAATTCCACATAGCTGTAAATCTATATATCAAATGTTTTTGTCATACGCGCAACTTGAAAAATTAGTTGAAAGGCCTACTAATAGTAATAAATGGGAATTATGTCTAAATATACTGAACATTAAACATCTACACATCTCTTATGTATTCAATTTCACTGAGTCTGTTGCTATAAGGTATGGAATTCCTTAACTTCTTTATTGCTGATTCAGCATCCAGCTTCTTCATTTAGTTCCTGAATGCCTGACTTTCCCAAAGCTTTGCCTTATATACCATTTAGTTTAGCTAGTCCATTTTAAGGGTTTTCAGGTCATTTCATTACTTGAGGTCTTCAATGCGTTTTACTCAAATGCCCTTTAACCATTACACCTATATATTCATATGTAAAACTCCGACCTCCTCTTGCAGCCCTGCCCTACCCCCGGGAGTCATGAACAAACTTGAATCTACAGTACAGTTTAATACAGCTTTCACGTTTCATTTTTTCTTGCCCAATTGTTCTTGGGAAGAAGACGTTTAAAAATTGCCACTAAATTCTCATGAATTTTTAATTATCTCCCCCTGAGAGAGGGCGCGGCATTTCTTGTGAATAAACTTAAATTCCCTTCAACCAAGGATGCTTTGTGGTAAGTTTGGTTGAAATCGGCGCAGAGGTTCTTGAGAAGAAGTCAAAAATGTGAAAAGTTTACTGACTACAGACGACAGAAGGACGCCGGACACTCTTTGATCAGAAAAGCTCACTTCAGCCGTCGGCTCAGGTGAGCTAATAAGTAAACAAAAAAGTAAATTTTCAATTTTTTTTTTTCATTTAGAGGTACACTACTTAAAAACAGCACACCATATAAAATATTCAAAACAAGCTGGTATAATTACTCTGAAATCTAAAGGGTAAAAGTTAAAAAAAAATAACAGTATTCCATTGTTGAAAACTTGGATAAATCAATATTTCTTTCCTATGATTTTAAGTTCTTAATTTTTTTTTCCTTTCTATTAGTTCGATTATCTTTACTTATAACAAATGTTTGCCGTTTCACTAAGTTGAACTTGAGGTAGTTGTGATACATTATTGGTAACCTTGAACTCCTTAAGAAATCCTTCGTTTTTCTTGGCTTCTCTCTGTGTGATTATATTCAGTAGGTCCGAAACAGCGATATCCTTTGCAACAGACAGGTCATTATAATACACCGCCTCCTCTGGATTTTCTATTTGTGGTTCTTCTTCCGGGTCCTCGATCGGAACAGAGGTATTTCCTATGTAAGTGTACAACATGTTTACTGCTACCATAAAAATTAGAAATAATGTAGAATAGAAGAGGCTGATAGTTTGAAACAGACTGGAATCTAAGTAAACGTTTGAATAATAAGAACAGTTGTGCTTAGGGTTGAAGATATAATATTTACTGGAAGATGGAGCTTCATTCTTTCGAAAAATGACTGCTGTTTGTTTTGAATTTGTATTCTCTCCTCGTCTGTATCTGGAATGACATTAGAATTTTTTTTTTACTTTTTTATCCTATGGAAAATCTTAAACAAAATATCTGAAGATTGAAAACAAGACATATATGAATTAAAACTCATAAGAAAGGCTTTTTTTGTTCTCTCAAGAAATGTTAAAGATTCAAAGATATTGTAAGACTCACCTTGTAATAAAAATGACAATAATTATAATTAATATAAATAATCCAGCTCCAAATCCAGCACCAATGGCTGTAGTCGGTAAAAAAGTCGATTCATTAGCAGTGAGCACTGAGAAAGAAAAAGGCAGTTACAAATTTATATATTATATGGCAAAGTCATATTGTATTTTCAAAAAGGTAAGAATAAAAATTAAGTGTACATTATCTTTTTCATTGTACATAAAAGATCAATAGGTCTCCATAATGAGTTATGTATTTTCCTATGCTAGGTCACTACTTCTTATTATTTAGATTTTTTTTCAGATCGATCAACACCTTTTAATTTATTTTTTTTAATATATTTTGAAAACACAAAGTGTAATCTACACATTAAGATTATTTTCCATTCAACATCTGTTACAAAAAAGGGAAAGCATTCGACTTAAAAGTTGATGGTTGTTAAGACTATCGGTCATTTTTTAAATTGATGCAATGTATCAGTATTGCTTTTTTCCAAGGAAGATACATAAAGTTTTGAGGTATTTAGTGCCAGCTGACTAAAGCACAGAAATATGACCCCGTGAAATAAAAACTCAATACTGTGGAATTATTAAAATTCTTTGGGGTCACAAATCCCTAATTGAAGATTTATTTAGTTGCCATGGCGCCTAAAATTTCTCTATAAGTCGCCAAATTGGCGACCATTTTATATAGACTCTGCGATCGTTAAATTCCGGATCTATTAGCATTATCACCGATAACGATTTTTTTCTTGAAGTGACGAGTAGAACAAATAATTTTTTAGCAATGGACATGCATTGTTTTTTAGCCACCTTGTTTTGCACTTTCAATCAGCGCACTTGAAAAAGAAATTTTGTGTCGCTTCCGTGTACACAGATCTCAGGTAAACCAGATAAGACAAAAGCTGGCAAGGTAATTTTTGACTCCAAAAAATCGATAATTGTGAAATGCTGGAAACTGAGCAAGTGTCGTGGTCAATTGCATGCAATTTAAATTCTCACTCATTAGAGTTATCGTCCTCATATAAGTGTAAGGTCTTATAATTGTATGAGGAAAAAATGTTTTTCATGTAAAGAATCCTAGATAAAAAAGATTATTGAATACGAATATAGATATTCCTGTTTATTTTAATTTAAACGGTTTTTTTCAGATCCAAGTTTCTTAAAAAGAAATGATTAATCTAAACTTTATAAATATTCAGTTTTACATGCATGCATAAATTGAAATCCTTGGCAACTAATCAATAACCGATTTTTTTTTTCATTTTTTGTTGAATTATTATTATATTTTGTCAATCCATGCGAAAAGTTGAAAAATGGATTTTGGAGACTCAGCCAATTAAATATATATTTGATAAGAAAGAAAAAAAGAAAACAATTCTACTGTAAGCATTTCCTAGCTGCCTTACCTCCTGCATTTGCTATTCCAACCCAAAAAAGGAGAACCGACACCTTTTTCCGATTCCCCTTTCAAAAGTGGGACAATGGGAAACTAAATTGCCCCCAACCCCTTGACTACCTCTTTAGGTCCCTATATTGAGTAATATCAGCTTAATAAGTTGGAGCCTGAAAAGATGGCACAGCTCCTAAAAACTTTCTGGGAAATTTATTAGGAGCAAACTTGCGCCTACATTTCAGAGGTCTTTTTGAGGCCTTGGTCAATACTCGTGTGCAATCAACATCTTAAATGGCTCAAGGGCACGTTATTTCATGGGAATTTCTTATATCCCTAAAATGCAATAATTAAATACTCCGACAAAGTTCATTTTCATGTAAATTTGTGGGTAAGGGTGAAATCCACAAACATTGGACCCCCAGAAACAATGATATTGTCACAGTGTAATTTGTGTAAAATAGCAAATAAATCACTGCCCATTTTACCTGATGTACATTTTTCATCCCTGAAATTCCCTTTGCATCCTCCTATGCAGGACCCATTGGTGGGGTGACATGTTCCGTTTACACAGTTTGAGCTACATCGCTGATCACAATCTTGACCGTAGTATTCTGGCTTACATTCTTTGTAAATAAATGTTTTTTTTTTCAAAATATGAGATAAAAATGGTCTACAATCCACTGCCAATGTTTACAACAGGTTAATTGTAGATGGTTTAACATTCGGTAAAATAGAATAATATGCTTCTTATTATATATAGAATACTGTTATGATATGGTTTAAATCGGTCTAATGAATTAAACTGTATACACGATATTTAGCAGTCGAAGCTTTCTACTGATGAGCAATTATTTCAAGAATGTTATTTTGAGTGTTTTAATTTTTTTTTCCTTTACCATCACAGTTTTGACCCTGCCATCTTGGTTTGCATAAACAATTCCCATCGGCTTGACGACAACCGGAAATACACCCACTACCACAGGTTTGGAGGCAATAAGTTCCAAATTTTCCGACAATGCATCCAGAATCGCACGAACCATTGTTTTTATTGCATCCAATTTTACAATTCCCCTTGCATGTTTTATTACAAAAATGTCCAAATTTGCCAACTGGACATTCTCCCTCACATTCCCCTGAAACTCTGTTGCAAGCTGATGGACATGATATGCTGCATCTCTTGTCACACTTCTGTAAATAAAATCCACTCTTACATCCAAAAGTACATGAACCATAATTATTGCCACAAGTCTGTTTTTTACAATTCAAACTACATTCTTTGGAGCAACCAGGTCCGTAGTGATTGGAATCGCATTCTAAAAAAAATAATACAAATGTTAAAAATTACACAAGAAATGAGTAGTTCGAAAGTGAACTCGTGAATTTTACAGAATATTGAATAAAACTTGTTGATTTTTTTTTTAAACTACACTTGAGTATCTGACACAGTTAAGGTTTCACTGTTGCCGTTGTGTTTGACTTTACCGGTACAGTTTTGACCCTGCCATCCTGTTTTACATGAACAATTCCCATTGTTTTGATTACAACCGGAAATACACCCACCACCACAGCTCTGAAGACGGTAAGATCCAAATTTTCCGACAATGCATCCAGAATTCCATTTTTACAATTTTGGTTGCAGTCGGGCAAATACGGACCTCTATAAGTATCAAAGGTGGGATCAAGTGTCATTGAGGAATAAACATCTCATGTCGACCGGTCGCACCAGCCGTGTGCTCTTTGTTATGATCGGGCAAACAGAAAAATCTGTAGACAATTCAATGTGAAAATAATTGCCTAACATTGTTTTATGGAAAAGTCAGTGAACATTCTACTTAATGATAGATTGTATTTGCTAACAAGGTCATTTTATCGACCATAGAAATGGCGAAATGTTGACTTTAAGCGAGACTGTTGATATCGTTGTATCTTCAACTTGTTTGCCAATAGCTTGCCTTGTTTAAGAAGGCATTTGTACATAGAGCATGCTTTTATATATGGAATCATCTGAGAAATATAAACTCCACTTGCAGGTGACATTGCTACATACATCTAAATAAGGGAAGCTGACAATAGAAAAAAAATTAAACCATCACGTTTATCATAAAATTTCCGTCGCAGTTTTCTCAACAATTACTCTTTGCAGTTCACATGAGAGCGTATATTCACATCAGATTACTAATGAGCATCGCCTCACAGACTTCTTGCTCAATTTTCCCGAGGAATGAACTGCATCTCCTCTGCATAGCGCAGTATCTCTTCCATTGGCACAACAGTACTATTACCTAGAGATGTTCTTGAAAGACAAACGCAGCAATTTTTGCTCGGCATGATTTTTTTTTTCGTGACACCTGCAGTATCGAGTAACACAAAGTGCATGATTCGTGTCCTCGAACAAAATGTGCTTACATTAGGGTATAGTTCCGGTTGATTGCGTTTAGCTAAAGAGAATTTATGATCTTCATTTCCATAAATGTCTTTTATATCAACAGCAAACATATATTTAAATGAAGAAAATAGAAGTAAAATGCAAAAGCCTGTATAAAAAAGAAATTAAATTCGTGTTTATACAGGTGAAAATTTGAAAAAAATAAAAGTATGTCAACAGGTAGATTCGAACCAGGGCACTAAAAATGTTCATGCTGAGAGTCTGCAGTCTATCTACCTGAGCCATACTGACTATTTTGACCAAAATCATAGATATAAACCACTATGATATAAATCGGTTTTCGCATTTTTTGAATTTTTTTTTACGAATTTCGACCCTAGGCAGGTGTGCCCCTAAAAAATCTTGTTTTAAGGACATACACAACGTAGTTTGAACTTTATTGTCTTTTTCCCTGGAATTGAAGAGTTCCAATACTTAAAGGAATTGTGTGGTACATTTGTATGTCTATATATGCTGTTGTACACTTCTTCTATAACAAGTTTGGATAAACAAAACATCTAGAATATGTGTTTAGTAATTTTTGTGTATTTTTCTTTGAATTATACAAGAATTTCCATCATATTGATATATTTTCAAAACCCCTGGTAATGCATGCTGTTTTTTGTCTACGAACATCTGATGGCACTATAATCTTAAATTAAGAATATCTTGAAAAATTATCAGTAGGTAAGGTACGTTGCGTATGTCCTTAAGTTTGAAATCAAATATGTTTGGATGGAAATTATGACATATTTTGAAAATGTGATTTGAAATAGATTCTTTTAAAATTCCTTTTCCACCTACTTGTTTAAC